AAAAAAAAAAAAAAAAAAAAAAAAAAAAAAAAAAAAAAAAAAAAAATTAAAATTTTAAAAACATATTTTTCAATAATTATAAAAAAAAAAAAAATAGTACATAAAAACATTAATTTATAATTATTTTTTTTAATATATATAAACACGTCCTTCGCTACCCTACACTTCACCATTACTAACAGATATTGTCCTTCACTACCCATTACTAGCTGATATTGTCCTTCACTGCCCACTATGAGTAGATATTGTTCTTTGCTGCCCACTACTAACAGATATTGTTCGTTTTGACCCATCACATATCGTCGTCAGCCAATTGTTAGAGAGTAGATATTGTCTTTCACTACCAACTACTAGCAGCTATTGTCCTTCACTGCCAACTTTTAGTAGATATTGTCTGTTTTGACCCGTCACATATCGTCGTCAGCCTCTTGTTAAAGAGAAGTTTCCACCCACTTATACCATCGTCATCCTCTAGTTAGAGAGAGGTTTTCACCTCGTTTCATTTCTCTCTCCAATCGATGTGGATCTCACAATCCACTGGTAGCATGCACTATTTGTAACAGCTCAAACCCACTAGTAGCAGATATTATCTAGTCTCACAGTTTTAAAATACATGGAGAAGTTTCCACATCTTATAAAGAATGATTTGTTCCCCTCTCTAACCGATGTGAGATCTCACAATACGGTATTTGATTCGAAAAATTATTTAAATCGAGTTGACAGCCTATCACAACAAGTCCTAACCCAATATATTAATAACAATAATTTCTAACTAATTTTAATTATAAAGTTGATTGTACTTCACGTCACACCTTCTAACCTAACCTAAAGTTCGAATTAAACTCGAGTCCGAGACATATTCGAGAGCGATTTTGAAAGGATTAAAATCATTCGTGTCATGATCAAAATCAATTATAAAATCAAACATTAAATTATTTCGAGTGATATAAAACATATTTTACAGTAATTTTGATAATTTCTTCACGAACAATATATTTTATTTAAAATATTATTTCGAACGGGTTGACAGCCTATCCTAAGTCCCAACACGGTGTGTCGTATCAAATAATAAATCAATTAATAATAAAATAATGGGACGTACATTCAATTAATAATATATTAGCTACATACCAATCCCTTTCATTAATTTCTTCATTTGGTGGGCCCTTCAATGGCCAACTACCAGTCCGCAACTCGTCTTCTTTCCCTCCAGAAATCCCTATAAATTCAAACCCTAACTTCATCCAACTCCAAATCAAGCTCTCATCTCACATTCAATCTTCCATTTTCGCTTTTTTCTTCGATCAATCGAAGCCACACTCCATTGTTTTTTTTCTCCTTAATCCGCTCAGGTATGGGGTTTCGTCTTCCATCGTCTTTGATCCCTCAGGCCAAGCAATTGCTAAGGAGGAGCTCGGGAAATCCGTCGGCTGTTCCGAAAGGTCACGTCGCCGTTTACGTCGGAGAGTTCGAGAGGAAGCGATTTGTGATTCCGATTTCGTATTTGAATCATTTTTCGTTTCAACAGCTTCTCAGTCGAGCAGAGGAAGAGTTTGGATTTGTTCATCCAGAAGGTGGTTTGACGATTCCTTGCGGAGAAGATGCGTTTGTCGATCTCACTTCTAGATTGCAATCCTCTTAAGTTCTTCAGGTTGATTCTCGATTTTTTCCATTGGCTTTTTTTTTTGGAGATCCGTCGTTGTTGCTTTTTTTGCATTCTGACTGAGGTTAGAATGTTGATGGAATCCAATCACATTGCCTTTGGTTGTGTACTGAGTGGTGTTGGAATGGTGATCTTTTCACCAAAAGTTTATGTAATACGAATTGAACTGTTCTATCACCATTTTCTTGTTTATGTTATGATGAATTCGCACTATATTTTGAACGAAGACCATCAAATTCATAATATATCCGTGTAATACTTCTAAAATTGATTGTTAGATCCAAAAGTAGTATGGAGACTCAAAGTCGTTGATTGAAAAAGTTACTATTCTATTGTGATTAGATGAAAGCAAAAGTTCTACGTTATGAAAAAGTTCTATGATTGAAAGAATTTATAATTATTATTAATAACACTAAAATTAAGCCAACTGGAGCAACAACTGTCACTACTCCATACATTTCACTCGAGAGATTGGCACTAAAAAGCATTGTTGCAATGGGGAAATCTATTTAATTCATTACCCACAGGTATCATCCCTCTTAGAATGTTCTCTCCTAAAATAATTCATGTCATGTCACAAGAGATGCACGAGAAATGGTTTTGGCACTCAAAAGCGTGGTTGCAATGCAACGTTCTCTCCTAAAATGATTCGTGTCATGTCACAAGAGATGCACGAGAAATGGTTTTGGCACTCAAAAGCGTGGTTGCAATGGTGCAATCTATTGAATCTGGTACCAACATGTATCATCGCTCTTAGAACAATGTTCTCTCGTGAAATGATTCGTGATCACGTCACGAGAGATGCACGAGAAATGATTAAAAAGTATTGAAAGTTAAAAATGCTTTTTTTTTTTTCATCATAACAAAATATCCTAAAAGGGTCCGTATTGGTCTGGGGTATTCTTCACTCTTAGAAGTACTTCATGACAAGCAGGTAACACGATCATATCGTATGAGATGACTTGTTTACCCTCGCTCGGAACCAACAAATGATTTTAAAAGATTGATATGAAAATGTAATTAGAATTTTGTGTTTGGACAATAGCCCTTCTATACTTATTAACAGTTGGTGCAATGGTACAGTGTGAGGTACAGTCGCCTACTTTTAGCCATTGGCCGCTTCATTGGGTCCATTGATACAGATAGCCATTAAAAGCTCAGGATGCTTTTCACATGCACATGTTGCTCCTTATTAAGAACCTATAAGCATTGTACAATCTTAAACCTCGAGATGCATCTAAAACCCTGTCTGATAATCATTTGATCTTACTTTTACCTATGAGTTTCTTTGTTTCGATTGGGCTTGAACGGTTTTCGTAACCATCTTTAAGTTCATGATCCAATAGAAGCTAGCAATATCAGGTGTTCATGAGTTTCAGGGTTCATTTTAAGTAGCGGTATCGAATGAAACTTCAGACTACTTAACTACGTAACTCATCCTTGTTCTATTGTCTTTTCTTTATAACGGTTCTTTATGGGGGAGTACTGAGATTCGTACCTATGATATCCCATATCGGTTGGAACGTGAAAACCTCTCCCTAGTAGATGCGTTTTAAAATCGTCAGGCCAAGGTGGACAATATTTGCTAGCGATGGGCTTGGACGGTTACAAATGGTACCAGAGCTAGACATTGGACGCTAGGCCCCCGAGAGGGGTGGATTGTGAGATCCCACGTTAGTTGGAGAAGTGTGGAAACCTCTCCCTAGTAGACGCGTTTTAAAACCGCGAGACTGACGACGATACGTAACGGGCCAAAACGAACAATTTCTGCTAGCATTGGGCTTAGGTTTAGGCTGTTACAAATGGTATCAAAGCTAGACCCTGAACAGTGTATTAGCGAGAACACTGACCCCCAAGGAGGGTGGATTGTGAGATCCCATATCGGTTGGAGGAGGATGAAAACCTCTCCTTAGTAAATGTGTTTTAAACCATATGGCTGACGGCGATACGTAACAGGTAAAAGCGAACAGTGGGTTTGAATTGTTACAAATCGTATTAGAGCTAGACATCGGATGGTGTGCAAGTGAGGACACTCTACCCCAAGGAAAGTGAATTGTGAAATCCCACATCGATTGGAGAAGTGTGGAAACCTCTCCCTAGTGTTTTAAAACCGTGTGACTGACAACGATACGTAACAGGCCAAAACAGACAATATCAGCTAGTGGTAGGCTTGAACTATTACAGTACCGATAATGAATACTAAAACAAAACCGGTATCAACCTCGACCCTCTTTGACCTAAAAAATAGGTTCAATGATATAGCCATCAGCACTTTCCCAGAACTTCCATCACATGAATGGGAAACTTCCTTGTATAGTCATTATTTTGAATGTAGAGTTCTTTTCTATGTTGATCAAAGCCACGTGAAGAGGTCTTCCCAACAACAGCCTTGATGTCCCACACCCATTAGAAATGCATCAAATGCCAGTCAGCATTCACAAACCACCTCTTTTTTCAAAACATCTCTATTTATACAAACTCCAAACAAGCCTTCAAACACCAAACTCGACTCGAAACATAATAGGTTCGAGAAATTTTTTTAGACGTGTCCTCGAAAACCAACCAAGAAACTTGTCTACGACGAGCTTAGCAATGGGAATTCGTTTGCCGTCATCTTTGATTCATCATGCCAAGCAAAGGCTAAAGATGCGAAACCCATCGAATGTTCCAAGAGGTCATATTGCAGTTTATGTGGGTGAGATTGATATCCAGAGGAAACGGTTCGTAGTTCCGATATCTTTCTTAAACCATCCGTCATTTAAACAACTTCTTAGCCATGCCGAGGAAGAGTTCGGATTCCATCATCCCCCAGGAGGTCTAACTATTCCTTGCAAAGAAGATGCGTTTATCGATCTTACTTCTAGATTTCAACAAGCTTGAAGTATCGCCAATTTTTTTCACAACATTTTTTTCACCCTTTGTTGGTGTTATGATTCATTCAAATGTTGTATGAAAAACAATTATAATCTTTGCTCCATGTTCCCCACCTAAGTCATTACATAAAATAGACCATATTTGATCCATATCGAACGTTAAATTATGAAACTATCTAATGAAATAAGAGAATGGGGAGGGTTTCTTATGGTAGTCCCGCTACGGCCTCTTCTCGATTAAGTAAAAGAATAAGTGATTTCCTTTACTCTCCGATGCTTGTGTTTCAAGATTCACACGGTCATCTTTTTGGCTAGATCATTTTGAACCCGATCACATGAAAGCTCTTTATAATGTTCTCGTTCCAACACCTATAAGGAATCACATCAAATCCGACCATTTTGTATCTTTGGAGTAGTAGTCTCTTCAATTCTTCGATGAATTTTTTTGTTTCTCCCGAGATTAAAGAAAAGATTAAAGCAAAAACAAATTAAATAGGGATGAATCATGAGTCCATGAATTAAGAACCTGGATAGAGTTTTGGGTTGTTGGTCTCTGGCTCGTGTTCTTTGAAGCAGCAACTCCTGTTCTCTCCTTGCATTCTTGAGACTTGATTTCAATGAACATGCCATGAAATGAATAAGGCTGCAAATAAATTACGACCACGGTTCAGTTCTCGATGATCTCAGAACTGCACATCTTGGTACTCGGTCTTGGAACTATTTGACTTGTAACAGTTCAAGCCTACTGCTAGTATATATTGTCTGTTTTTGTCCGTTACGTATCGTCGTCAGTCTCATAGTTTTAAAACACGTCTACTAGGAAGAAGTTTCCACACTCCTCCAACTGATGTGGTATCTTACAATCCACCCCCTTGTGGGCCCAACATCCTCACTAGCACACTGTTCGGTGTCTAGCTCTAATATCGTTTATAATAATCCAAGTCCTTGCTAGCAGATATTGTCCGCTTTTGACCCGTTACGTATTGCCATCAGTCTCACGGTTTTAAAACGCGTCCACTAGGGAGAGGTTTCCACACTACTCCAACTGATGTGTGATCTCACAATCCACCCCCCTTGGGGACCCAACGTCCTCACCAGCACACTGTCTGGTGTCTAACTCTGATATCATTTATAACAGCCAAAGTCCACCGCTAGCAGATATTGTCCGCTTTACCCTGTTACATATCATCATCTGTCCATGGTTTTAAAATACATCTACTAGAGAGAGGTTTCCACACTCCTCTAACCAACGTGGAATCTCACAATCCAATCCCTTAGGGGCCCAACATCCTAACTAGCACACCATCCCGTGTTTAGCTCTGATATCATTTGTAAAGCTCAAGCCCACCACTAGCAGATATTATCCGCTTTGACTCGTTACGTATCACCGTCAGCCTCACGGTTTTAAAACATGTCGGCTAGGGAGAGGTTTCCACGCCCTTAAAAGAAATGCTTTGTCTCCCTCTCCAACCATCATTACATCTTGCATAATGACTGTTCTTGGAGCTGATGACCTCCTCTGCTGGTTCTTCCTTTCCATCAAAGAGGCATAGCAAAGAGCTTTGCTTGATGAACTCAATGATAAAATCTTATAGCTTTTTATACAAATGGGATGATAAGAACTGAAAGAATTGGCATACCAACCAGATAGTGTAGAGGACCAAGGTTATACCGAGATTGCAATGATTTGTTCCCTTAATCAACTTAGAAAAGTCTTCAAATGTAAACACTAAACAGACACCATGTCCCCATGCTGGTGATACCACAGCATCTTTTATGGCTACCACGCTGAGGATCTGTGAAGCTGTCTGATTTTTGCACTGAAATTCAAGCCTATTCTCACTGTTCATAGTCTATTGAAACAGAAACTTGTTGAGGGAAAGCTTGTCAAACAGATCTGCCATTTAGTTTTGAAATTTTCTTGGCAATTTGTTGGGTCTTTGGCTTCCTTTTTTTGGGGCAAGAGGGGGTCTACCTACCAAAATATGGTGAAGATATTGGTTAGCAATCCCATGTGAGTATTTGATGAAGTGGGTCTTCTTTAATAAAGCACATCTCCTCCCCATTCATTCTATACATCAACACCTAATATAAACACCTTCTCATTCAAGGCTTGTAACTCTCATTTTAACATCAATTTCTCAGAGAAAACCAGTCAAACACATCGATTACGGACATGGTGTGTGATACCACATCGATGGGAGAGAGGAACGAGTGTTAGAGGAGAACAAAACATTCTTGAGAACCTCTTCCTAGCATATGCATTTTAAAAATATTGAAGAGAAACCTGAAAGAAAAAGTCTAAAAAGCACAATGTTGCTAACGGTGGGCTTGAGCTGTTACAATTGATATTAGAGCTAGACGCCGGGCGGTGTGCTAGTGAGGATGCTGGGCCCCGAAGAGGAGTGGATTTTGAGATACCACTTCGATTGGAAAGATGAACGAGTGTCAACGACTCTAGACCCTGAAGGGAGTGGATTGTGAGATCCCACATCGATTGGAGAGATGAACGAGAGACAATGAGACACTGGACCCTAAAGGGGGTGGATTATGAGATCTCACATCAGTTGGAGAGGAGAACGAAACATTCTTTATCAAGGTACAAAAACCTCTTCTTAGCAGACACGTTTTAAAAAGTTCAAAGAGGAAAATATCTACTAACAGTAGAATTGGGCGGTTACACATGAGACCTTTGCACGCCCTTCCAGCCAACTAAGTTGGGATTCCTTTACTACCTTTCTCACAAGATAATCAAAATTTAAAATGCTGTCGCCTCTCTTATCTTTAAACTAAATCAAATTAAATACGATGAACCTCAACTGCATCAACTAATATGAATGATAACATATCGAGTTTAATAGGAAAAGAAAAACTATACTAGACACTGTTGCATTAATCTTCAGAAACTAGGTATAGCTCAGTAACTCAACATAAAGAGATGATAAAATTCAATTCCCTTTCACCCTTGGCAAGGAGACTATTGATAAATAACTTGTGTTCTGTTTGCCCAAAATCTTTCCAATCAATAGAAACAAAGAAAAGCATTATAGGGTAGAAGAAACGTGTTCAACAGCAACAGGGAACCAACCAACCTAAACATAACTAAAGATCAAAAACTTTCTTAGTGACACCAGCAAACAACATTTGAGATGATCAACTTGAACTCACGTGCTTCTGGACAATGTGAAGTGCCTCGTGATCCTCCCCAAAGTCCTGGAGATAGGAATACAAAATTTAAGTAAACAAAAATGGTTCAGAGAACAGAACATTTTATACAGGAGTGATGGGCATCATTACAGCGTACCTTAACTACAACACAAGAGCACCCAACAACCTTCCTAGCCTTTCCTTCAGAATCAATCTTGCATAGCTGCATTAGACCAACACAATAACTTACTATCCTGAACTCAGATGAGGGAAATCTTATGATGGTACTATTGGTATCTGCACATCAATTACATCTTGAAATCGAACTCAAATTGATGGTGTAGAATGCCAATTTACAAGCAAAAACGAGCTTCCCCAATCGTGATGTTGACAGGGCATGTGAAAAAAGAAAGCTTTTTTTTTTATTATGCATGAAGAGGTTATGTAAATATGACCCAGAACATGTAAAGCAGCTAAGTATTAACGGGTAAAAACATGTAGCCTAGTATTGGCAGGTGAAGAGGTTATGTAAATACGATCCTGAACATGTAAAGCAGCTAAGTAATAACGGGTAAAAACATGTAGGCTAGCATTGGCAGGCGAAGAGGTTGTGTAAATACGATCCCGAACATGTAAAGCAGCTAAGTACTAACGGGTAAAAACATGTAGCCTAGTATTGGCAGGTGAAGTTTCAATCATAGTAAAATAAATACAATACAAGTGATGACAGATGATCAAAAGTAAAGCCATTTTTATCTCGATGGCTAAATATGATTAAACACTTACACCAGCCCACTCGCCAAGGGTCTTTGCACTGGGAACTGTCATCAAGTTTACATCGTGCTCCGCACAAAGTGCCTTGACAAGTTTAACATAATCTGGCTGGTTGCAGTCTTCTCCCAAGACGCAGAGCTGAGCAGCATGCTTCTCAATTGCCTTGGCACTCTCATGCAGGCCTCGAACAAGCCCACCATGAGCTAATGATTTTCTAAGAACAAGTTGCAAAGCAGTCTCAATGTTCATTGGCTCACCAAGAGCTGGGGCCGGAGCCTCAACAACAACTGCACCTTCATCACTGCATAAGAAATCGAGTTAAAAGGGATTTGTCAAGTAATTGTAGGCAATATATAGCCATTTGCAGCAAATACTAAGCCAATAACAAAAAAAACCTCAATAGTATTTCACTCCTAAACAAGCATAAAGATCTTGGCTCTTCAGTCATGATCTTTCAATGTCCAACAAAGTAATGTAACAAATCACCATATAAATCACATTTTCATTTAAAGTTCCATATTTCATATGATTCAAACCAAAACATATAATTTTCATCTCTAAAGGCATTAACATTTATTGTTCCGTCACCTTTGCCAATCAAGTTTCAACTCACAACTTTTTCTTATTCACAATCTAGAATAGTCACCGCTCGAATCGTTTATCACAAGCTTCAGATTCTACGTCACAAAAACAAGGCATCGTCGATAACTAATATATTTCAAAGGAAGCAAACAAAAACGAAAAAAGGAGCAGCATTCAACAACTTAAATTATAAAATAAAAAACAACCAATGGAAGCTTGCAAACAAATTTTCACTCACGCCGACATTTTTCTTCTTGATTTGAAGTTCTTTTCTCCTTTCTGTCGCAAAACAAACGCAGAAAAACAATCAGACAAAAGATGCAGACAATTTAAACAGAGGCACAATCGAAGAAGAAGAAGCGAGGAAGTATAGGGATAGGAGACGATACCGATCAAACCGAAGAATCAACGGCGCAGCAAATTAGGTCAAGAAGGAGTGAGGGGTTTTTATGAAGATGAAGTGGAATGAAAAAGCCCAACTGGTTGGTGACCTAGCCCTATACGGCCGGTGTTCGGTTTATCCAAATCAAGAATCGAACCACAATATCCGGTTTAGAAAACCGCCGGCTGAGTTAGCTTTTTACAGAAATCGGTTTGAACCGATCGGTTTTGGTTCGGTTTTGATTATCACTGATAAAGTTTCTTGAGAAATTAATGCAAAAGTGATGTATTCATTTGGACGGTGAGAGAAAGAGGATACTTTCATGGCCTATTCTTGAGGATATCTTATGCTAATTAAACCATACATGCTTGATTATCAAAATGGTTTGGTTTGATTTTTTAATTGGTTTTGGTTCGGTTTTCTAATATTTAAAATTTAGTTGTATTAGACATGATCTCGTCTACTTTGAGCATAAGCTCTCATGACTTTACTTTTGAGGAGATAGCAGTTCACTTCGAGTCACCTTTGACTACACCTTCGTTATTGAAACAAGTTGGATGTTCCGAAATGGTATACTTGTTTGTTCGACATTTGAGAATTTTATTGACATGGCTAAGTTAAGGGCATGGCTCTGATACCATGTTAGGAACAATGACCCTCCATAATAGTATGATATTGTCTACTTTGAGCATAAGCTCTCATGGTTTTGCTTTTGGTTTTCCGAAAATGCCTCATCCCTTATAAATCAATGATGTTCCTCTTAATTAGCCAATATAAGAAAGATGACTAGAAACACAGCACTCTCTATGCATAACTTTCATAAGCAACGGGCAGTCTCCTAAATCACATGGATTTGGCTTATGGGTCACTGGTGTTGGGTTCTTCTGCTTCTTTTGATGCATTCTGAGAAGTCATTTTAATGAGCAGTAGCTCTTTTATGGCTCTTGATACAGTGGACGATCGAGATAGTATAATAAGATAAATCGTAAACGACTAGTTGCAATGGGAAATGGAATTTTGTATGTTCCTCACCACTTGCCCATTTAGCACTACGCAGCAGTAAACATCGTTTAGAATCACCTAAATGAGAAGTGTGAGATCGCACATCGATTGGGGAGAAGAACGAAATATTCTTTATAAGGGTATGGAAACCTCTCCCTGGCAAACACGTTTTAAAATCTTGAAGGAAAGTTTGGAAGGGAAAGTCCAAAGAGAACAATATATGGTAGCGGTGGGCTTGAGTTGTTACTAATGGTATCAGAGCCAGACAATGAGCGATGTGCCAGTGAGTAGGCTGAACCCCGAAGGGGGTGGACATGAGGCAGTGTGCTAGCAAGGACACTGGGCTCCAAAGGGGGTTGGATTGGGGGTCCTACATCAATTGGAGATAGAAACGAGTGCCAGCGAGGACGCTGGGCCTCGAAAGAAGATGAATTGTGAGATTCCACATCAGTTGGGGAGGAGAATGAAACATTCTTTATAAGGGTGTGGAAACCTCCCCCTAGCAGATGCGTTTTAAAACCTCGAGGGAAAGTCCAGAAGGTGAAAGCCCAAAGAGGATAATATCTGCTAGCGGAGGGCTTGTGCTGTTACTAATGATATCAGAATCAGACACCGGGCGATGTGCCAATGAGGAGACTGAACCTCGAAGGGGGTGGACACGAGGCAGTGTGCCAGCAAGGACGTTGGACCTCGAATGAGAGTGAATTTGGAGGTCCCACATCGATTGGAGAAGGAAATGAGTGCCAATGAGGACGTTGGGCCTAGAAAGGGAGTGAATTGTGAGACCTCACATCAGTTGGAGAGGAGAACGAAACATTTTTTCTAAGGGTGTGGACCTCTCCCTAGCAGATGCATTTTAAAACCTTGAGGGGAAGCTTGAAAGGGAAAGTCCTAAGAGGACAATATCTGCAAGTGGTGGGCTCGGGCTGTTACTAATGGTATAAGAGCTAGACACCAGGCGATGTGCCAGTGAAAAGGCTGAACCCTAAAGGGGGTGGACATGAGGCGGTGTGCTAGCAAGGTCGTTGGGCCCTAAGGAGGGGAAGGGGGTGGATTGGGGGGTCTTACATCTATTGGAGAAGGGAATGAGTACCAACAATGACGCTGGGCCTCGAAAGATGGTGGATTGTGAGATCCCACATCAGTTGGGGAGAAGAATGAAGCATTCTTTATAAGGGTGTGGAAACCTCTCTTTAGCAAACGTGCTTTAAAACTTTGAGAGAGAGCCTAAAGAGAACAATAGAATAATATTTGCTGGCGGTGGACTTGAGCTGTTACAAGAGGTCTCTTAGATTATAAACATTCTTTAGACATATATGTCCTTATCTGCTGAAGATGCAATATCCATCATGATATACACCACATAAGTTTTGGAGTAATCAAATACTTCCACTTGATTCTGGCTCTATTGTTGTTTTCTCGATACCTACTAATATTTTCAGCCACGAAGAAATGTTTGAATATGACTTCATTTGTTGGGACAAGTCGGTCCAAAGTGCCAAAAGTCGGATCAAATTTGAAAGTGAGAGTACTTCAACCACTCGAGCAACCACAGTGAATCAAGTTCAAGTTCCAATAAAGCTCTATGATTACATACCAAAAGCAGATAATACAAACAATTGCATGTCTAGAGTGAATAAAATAGCTCTCATAACAATGTTCAAAATCATTCTAATGTAAGTTCTACATGCTCAAAATAAACAATCACACAAGTCGTTCAAGCCTCTGGCTCCGATTAAGAAGAATGTTTTAGAAAACGGCGACAGAGAGATTTTGAAAGCAAGATTGAAAGATATTGAAAGCAATGTTATATGGCATACAAGCAAAAGGCAACACAACGAATTAAGTACTATATAACTTTTTGGGTAGGGAGAATTTGACAACTAGTCGCATCCCCCTATAGTACATTTTGAGGCGATTCAAGTCTAGCAGACCTAGACGTGATTCCGCAAAACGGTCATACAAAATCAGGAGGAGGAGTTGACAACTAAGCACACCCCCCTATAGTTTATTTTGGGGCGATTCAGGTCTAGCAGGCCTAGACATAATTTCGTCGAATAGTCATACAAACAGAAAATACAATAGTAAGACAGTACAACATGGAATTAAATAAAGGGTTCGACGTAGCATGAGCGCATGCCTCAGTTGCCTGCAATATCCATCATGATATCACTTCTAGATTGCATAGACTTGCTTACCTGAACCATCCTTCATTCGTAGACTTGCTTAGGTGCTCATGTAGGATATTGATTTTTATTGCTCAAATGTGACACTAATTTTGAAACATTTAATTCAATGAAACAACTAACGTTCTTGTACAATGTCTGGCGATGAATGGAACAACTTGACCTGAAAGACAGAAATTTGTGGTAAAGACTGATATAATCCACTTGAACATTAATTATGCTTATCAGTTGCAACAAAAGCAGCATTTTCTTTCTGAAAACAAAATCTCCAGAATCTAACTGGACTTGAACCAATCCAATCACAAAAGGAAATACTTGTATATGTAATCATTCTCTATGCAGAACTTCGAAGATCTCTAATCCACTAAGGTAAATATAAAACATAAAACAATCCACAAAACAATCTTCTAAATCATAATATGGATATGGCTTATGGGTCAATGGGGTTGTTGAGTTTATGTTCTTGCAGATCATCATTGTTCATGTTTATTCTGCTTCTTTGGATCCATTGAGACATGGCTCTTTTATGAAACTTTTACAAGTTCTTTCAAATTTCAACGGAAATCAGTCATATGTTCTATATGTCATGTTGCAGTTTATGTGGGAGAGACGGAATGTGTGGTTCCAATATCATACTTGAACCATCCGTCAGTCAAACCACTGCTCAAACACGCTGTATTCAAGTAAAGTAGCAAGAACATGGAGATAAAAAAACCCAACGAATTCAGGTGAATAAAATTCATGAAGGGGCACAGTGTTCTTGTAAGAAAATGTGACTATCTATTTCAATTTTGTATCTCTTTTCCGCTACTCATCATTTACATGTAGAAGCTAACTCTACATTGATGTTCTACATTTAACTAGGAGAAAAAATCGAAGGGAATCTAACAAAATTGTGTGGAGGATGGTTTTTCTTCTCTCTTTCATGAAGATTGCAGCCTAGATGTGAGATTGATGAACACATCTTCTCTGCAAGGAATTGTAAGACCTCCAGTTGGATGTTTAAATCCAAATTCTTCTTCGGCACAGTTGAGCAAAGCAGAAAAAGAAGGATGGTTTAAGTACGCTATTGGAACTACAAATCTTTTTCTTTCGATATCTCCCACATAAACTGTAATATGGCCTTTGGGAATGCCACACAGGTTTCTAGAATAAGCGGTATGCATTTTGACAGCTTGCTTGGCATTGAGAAGAAGTGAAGGTAGTCTGATTCCCATGTCTAGAAGGGTTTTCCGCTCGATGCAGATCTAGAAGTTGGAAAGTGTAGTACTTGAATGAAAATGTGCAAGAAATTTGAGTTGGAGATTGAAGTTTATTTGATCTGTATTTATGGATTCAGAACGGGGAAGTGGTGAGAAGAAAACAGTATCAACTTGGTTTCTAAGAGGGCCTACTTCATAAATGCTCACATGGGTTGCTTATTTGGTATGAATAGACGCACCTCATCATGTGCCCTAACAAACTAGTGAGCAGCCCCATTTGTTCCAATGAGGTGCAGTTCTAGTCCAAAATAACAGGTGAGAAAACTTCGAAACCAAATGCCATGTCGTGGTAGATCAACTTACAGTGGGTCCATGCTGCTGCAAGCTTACACTATCGGTCATTGGCTGCATCTCTGATCCAATCCAGAGGAAAAATATATATTAGAGGGACAGAAACAGGAATAAATTCTTCTTGATAATAGACTAAACAGAACAATAAATGAGATGCCAATTCAATTGTAAATTTTTCTTTCAGACATAAGAATAATGCTTGTCTGAAGCTTGTTATGATCTTAAACGTTTACCATTTAAAATTGTCTAATACATGTTTGCTGCTTATGTCCCTTTTCATCACTCATTTGATTTTCTTGGTATGTTTTGTTCGTAACATCCTGTGCTGATATTATAGAAATAGCCTATAAAATTGTATTCACAAACTTCATATTTTCTGTTCTGTTTTTAGTGTTTTGAGAAATTCTTGTATCTTATGTTTTCTCCCCTTATGGGATACCAAAAGATCAGGGGACCTTCTCCAGTTTATGTTGATTCAAATTTGACTTCCACTTGTCGAAAGGTTCAATGCATCGAAGTCTAGAGATGATGCCATGAGTTATTGTTGGGGGAAACCAGAGAGGTAGTTCTTGATTCAAGCTTCATTCTTAAACCAGCTGCTGTTCTAGGATTGGGTTGGCTATGTAGGAATTCATCCAACACATGGAATGGTTTAGAAATATGCATAGCAGGAATCTCAGATTTTCGTACATGAATCAACAGACTTGAAAGAGGTTGTACGGGCCTTGCCACAGCTTAAGATTGCTGAAGTTAGCAGCCTACTCTCCAAGGCTAGCACAATTACTTTGGGCCGAGAGGAAGAGTTATTAACCGAGTGTTGGACTTGCTAAAAGATTAAGAAGCTACATATGTTTGTCCTATATTCTATCTATTTATGCAGAACCTAATATTCAGAGTTGAGGAAGAAAGCTGAAGCACCGTATGAGAGATAGGTAGACATTCTTGAATTGTGAAAAGAAAAAAACTAAGTTGGATGGATGCATTTTGTGCTCCTAATAATCAGTATGGAGAAAGGTTTACCGAGCGCTTTCGTGTCTTAAATTGTAGGAAATACTAAGCTCCAAATGATCATTTTGTGCTACTAGTGATCAGTATAGAGAAAAGGTTCAAATCTGAGCTGAATTTGAACCAATCCAATGACAAAAGGAAAGACTTAGTTGTGCCAAATGATCAAAAGGGAATTTGATCAGTATATTATACATTTCACAAAGGAATGTATTATAAGGCAATGCAGCTGCTTGTTATGAAGAAATAAGAGCAAACTGCTCGATCTCATATGAAGATGAGGGAAACGCAATTTTTAATTGGTTCAAAAACCTGACAAGATATGTGTTCTGGTGTAAACCTGATATATTAAATCTGACAGTATTTAGATGTGCATGCTTTATGCTCACAATAAACAAGTCGACATGCTCGAGGCTGAAAACGATCGAAGAACTTTGTGGATGATTTATGCCTCCAAGAATTGGCATTTTTTGTTTACTAAGCTATGTACTTTGACTTGGGCTTTTTGTTCTCCTTAATGAGAACCATTCTTTGATATGGTCCACAATTTGGTACATAAAAAGCCTGCAGAGTCTCCTTTGACCTAGACATTGACGTAGCTGGTCACTCTCTCATGGAAAGCCATTCACATGGAGGTTCTGTTCTTCCATTTTCAACGTAATACACACTGTCTGTAAGCATTTAATTCAGTGTAAAAGCTTGGACAATGATTTGACATTTCATAATCGAACAACTTAGCCAATGAAAATGAAAATTTGTGGTGTAACAGCGAAGAATGTGAAGAGAGAGAGAAGGAAATTGGTGCGTCTTTCCTACGTTGAACAAAACCATGTGAAGTGTCCCACTCAAATACCTAACCATCAGACTTCAATACCCCACTATGCCATTTGAATACCATCGCTGACAGCATAACTCTTTCTTCCCAAACTCTATAAATTTGAGCATCAAATGAGCCTAAAACACCAAGTTCAACTCTTCCTAGTGCTCTACACTAATCAGATCAAAGCTTTAGACTTTTCTCAGAGTCTTTCATCTCTAGCAAAATGGGTATTCGATTGCTATCCTTGGTTCCTCATGCCAAGCAAATCCTAAAGATGCAGTCAGGGTTTACCAAAAGTCAGCTGGATGTGCCAAAAGGCCATGTGGCTGTTTATGTAGGAGAGATTCAAAGAAAGCGGTTTTTGGTTCCAATTTCTTACTTAAATCATCCATCATTCCAAAATCTACTCAGCCATGCAGAGGAGGAGTTTGGCTTCCATCATCCACAGGGGGGTCTAACCATTCCTTGCAAGGAGGATGCCTTCATTGATCTCACCTCTAGATTGCAGGTCTCTTGAAGGATGCAGAAGAAAGGACAATATGCCATTTTTGACAATTTTTTTCCAACTCGTTTACTTTTTGACACATGCTAGAGTGTTGTAGAGTGGGATACCTTCCTGCCTATAAATGAGTTGCATTGTAAAGATACATTTACCGACAGAACTAATGGAAAATAGATCAATTCAGCATCAATTTCTATATCTTATTTTCTGGTGATTTGTGATTGCTAATCTGAGGTTTTGGGGAGAGAGAAAACTTGTTACTAAATTATTATATACCAAAAAAGAAACTGAATAACACATTGATCGGCATCAAACATTCTACAAGTTCATACAGATTTCCCAGAAATCTGTTATATGTTTCAAAGGGTAATATGGGAGAGACGGAGGGAAACGGATTGTGTTTCCAATATCATACTTGAATCATCCTTCATTCCAACCACTGCTTAAACACGCTGAGGAAGAGTTTGTATTCCATCATCCTCAGGTTGTCAAACAAATCCTTGCAAAAAGATGTCTTTCTTGATTTCACTTCTAGATTGGAAGTTTCTTAAAGATGAGGGGAAAGAAAATTTACCAAGTTTTGAAAATTTTCCCTGTTTTCTTGACTCGTTTATGAACTTGGATTAAAATGTTGCAGGAAATCCAAGAACAATTCCTTCCTGAATGTTAATGAATGACACTGATTCTTGCTACTGACATCTGACAAAACAGGCAGAAATTATAGAACGGTCATGATTTAGTGTTGCATTGAAACAGTAAAATTATGACTATCAAATACTTGCCTATGGTAGGGGCCTTAAGTTTCAACTATGAAAAATATGGTTCACTTAAGGGGGATTAAGAAAAGATCAAAATTTATTCAAACCTGTTTATCCTTTTTCTGGTCGTATGAGCATTGTTAGGGAACAGCTAATACACTTTGCATTTTCATGGTCATTCATTTATTCAAGAAAAACCTTTGTGCTCAGCTGAATTCAAGTAAAGTAGCAAGAGCATGGAGATGAAAAACCCAACGAATTCAGGAGAATAAAATTCAAGAAGGGGCACAGTGTTCTTGTAAGAAAATGTGATAGTCTATTTCAATTTTGAATCTCTTTTCTGCTACTCAACATTTACATGTAGAAGCTAACTCTACATTGATGTTCTACATTTAACTATGGGAAAAAATCGAAGGGAATCTGGCAAAACTGTGTGGAGGATTGTTATTCTTCTCTTTCAGGAAGATTGCAGCTTGGATGTCAGATTGATGAAGACATCTTCTCTGCAAGGAATTGTAAGACCTCCACTTGGATGTTTAAATCCAAATTCTTCTTCAGCACAGTTGAGCAAAGCAGAAAAAGAAGGATGGTTTAAGTATGCTATTGGAACTACAAATCTCTCTCTCAATATCTCCCACATAAACTGCAATATGGCCTTTGGGAATGCCACACCGGTTTCTGGAAGAAGCGGTATGCATTTTGACAGCTTGCTTGGCATTGAGGAGAAGTGAAGGTAATCTGATTCCCATGTCTAGAAGGGTTTTCCGCTCGATGCAGATCTAGAAGTTGGAAAATGTCGTACTTGAACGAAGATGTTCTTGAAATTTGAGTTGGAGATTGAAGTTTATTTGAACAGTATTTATGGATTCAGAAGGGGGAAGTGGTGAGAAGAAAACAGTATCAAGTTGGTCTTTAGGATGGCCTACTTCATAAATTCTCACATGGGTTGCTTATTTGGTTTGAATAGACGCACTTCATCATGTGCCCTAACAAACTATTGAGCAGTCCCATTTGTTCCAATGAGGTGCAGTTATAGTCCAAAAGGGAAAGTACGAAGTTCTGAGGATCTATTGTTGCTCGATTTATTTGTGAAGTAATGGAAACAGTTGGACTATGACTTGACTTGTGATGAATGGAAACAATTGACCAATGAGCCTGAAATTAGTGGTATGAATTTCAGAGAATGTGCAGTGAGAGAAGAAAATTGGGTGCCTTTTTATGAGATGAGGCAAAGCCATGTGAAGGGATATTCACAAATATATCCAACTACCAGACATCAATACCCCACTTTGCCACTGGAATGGTCGGAGTCATCAGCATAGTATTTCCTTCTGAAATATTATAAATATAAACATCAAAATGAGCCTTCAAACACCACCCTCAACTCATTTCAACTTCTACTTCCTCTTCTAGTTAGCTCTAAACCAATCAGATTAGAACATTAGACAGACTGCCTTTCGTTCGAGAAAATGGGGATTCGGTTGCTATCTTTGGTTCCTAATGCCAAGCAAATTCTAAAGATGCAGTCAAGTTTCACCAAAAACCAGTTGGACGTTCCAAAAGGCCATGTGGCTGTTTATGTGGGAGAGATCCAAAGGAAACGGTTCGTGGTTCCGATATCTTATCTAAACCATCCATCGTTCCAGAAACTGCTCGGTCATGCCGAGGAGGAGTTTGGCTTCCATCATCCACAAGGGGGCCTAACAATTCCTTGCAAAGAAGATGCCTTTATTGATCTCACTTCTAGATTGCAAGTTTCTTGAAGGATCGACAGCAAAGCACAAGCTTCAATTTTTTGACAAACATTTCTGTTTGTTTCTGACACTTGTTTTTTTGATTCATACTAGAATGTTGAAGAATGACATGGCCTTCTTGCCTGCAAATGAAAAAATACACAAATTTAACATCAATTTCTATATAGCCTTTTCTTTGTTGCTTTATTTGTGAAAGTAACCTGCAATTCATGGAACAATGAAAAATTGTTGCTAGAGCATAGCACATCAAGAAACTAAGCAGAATCTTGAAGATTCAAACTTCTAAGTTCAAACAGATCCAAAGCAAACTGAATCCTTATGTGCCAATTTAAATTTTCTACTGTAAATATTAATCTATGTTAGATCTACTGAACAAAAGTCCCTATGCATCCTATGTTCCACCTCCTGTTACTAAGATTAGACATGGGAATCCAGTTGCCTTTCATACTTCTCAATGCCAAGCAGGTTCTCATAAAGCAAACTATTTCTACAACAAACCAATCTGATGTTCCAAAGGGTCACGTTGCAGTCTAAATCCAAAGGAACAGGTTTTTAGTTTCGATATCATACTTAAACCATTCTACATTCTTGGCTTTACTTAAGAGGACTGAGGAAGAGTTTAGATACAATCATCCTATGGGGGGTTTCACAATCCCTGCAGAGAAGATACCTTCATTGATCTCACTTCTACGCTACATAGGTTTTGAAAGATTATGTACAAATAGAAATCCCTAACATTCTTTTGTTCATTTTTAGTTAGAAAAACTTTCTTGAAACTCAAGGGATAGAAAAGGAGTTTAATTACCCTCCAATCGACACAATATCGAACCAAAGTGGTCTAACAAGGAAGAGTCTCTGTTTAAAGTTTCACATCCCAGTGCCCAGCCAGATGATGAAGATATGCCGACAGTTGCTCTTTAGTAGCCCATTTCGAGTCAGTGATTGTAAGATCAAGCATGGATCAGAAAGCCTCAATATGTCCAGAACATTATAACCCGTATAAAATTGTGTTGGCACAGCTATAAAATTATATTTCTTTCACTGATAAACTTTATCCCTTTAATTCATGAATTATGAGATATAAGGTCTTTGTATTTTCTCATTTTATCACGCAACAAGACATTTGACAAAACTCAAGCACAGAGAATTTATCATAAAAATGAAGGAAGATTTCTATTTCCATCCGGTTCTCAAGAAAGGCAAAAATTCTGATTAGCCAATCTAGAAAATGTAAAACGAAATAAGAGGATGTTTGAAGATGAGAGCTTTTCTTGGATCAACCATTTTGAATTAGCTCATTTCAAGGCTTCTTTTTGGTGTTCTCTACTCATCTTTTTATTCTCTTATGAGCATCGTTAGAGTAACACTTTGCATTTCATGGTATTCATTTATTCAAGAAAATGGAGATGAAAAACCCAACAAATTCAGGTGAATAAAATTCATGAAGGGGGAAAGAGTTCTTGAAAGAAAATGTGACTGTATCTCAATTTTTATGCTTACAAACCTATGTATCCCTTCTCTGCTACTCATCATTTACATGTAGAAGCTAACTCTACATTGATGTTCTACACTAAACTATGGGAAAAAATCGGAGGGAATCTAACAAAACTGTGTGGAGGATTTTTTTTTCTTCTCTTTTTCAGGAAGTTTGCAGCTTGGATGTGAGATTGATGAAGATGTCTTCTCTACAAGGAATTGTAAGACCTCCAGTTGGATGTTTAAATCCAAATTCTTCTTCTGCACTGTTGAGCAAAGCAGAAAAAGAAGGATGGTTTAAGTATGCTATTGGAACTACAAATCTTTTTCTTTCAATATCTCCCACATAAACTGCAATATGGCCTTTGGGGACGCCACACTGGTTTCTAGAAGAAGTGGTATGCATTTTGATAGCTTGCTTGACATTGAGGAGAAGTGAAGGTAGTCTGATTCCCATTTTCCGCTTGATGTAGATCTAGAAGTTGGAAAGTGTAGTCTTTGAATGAAGATATTCTTGAAATTTGAGTTGGAGATTGAAGTTTATTTGAACCGTATTTATGGATTCAGAACGGGGAAGTGGTGAGACGAAAACAGTATCAAGTTGGTCTTTAGGAGGGCCTACTTCATAAATACCCACATGGGTTGCTTATTTGGTTTGAATAGACGCACTTCATCATGTGCCCTAACAAACTAGTGGGCAGTCCCATTTGTTCCAATGAGGGACAGTCATAGTCCAAAATAACACGTCGAGAAAACTTTAAAACCAAATGCCATGTCGTGGTAGATCAACTTACAGTGGGTCCATGCTGCAAGCTTACACCATCGGTCATTGGCTGCATCTCTGATCCAATCTAGAGGAAAGATATATATTAGAGGGGCAGAAACAGGAATAAATTCTTCTTGATAATAGACTATACAGAACAATAAATGAGATGCCAATCCATTTGTAAATTTTTCTTTCAGACACAAGAATAATGCTTGTCTTAAACTTGCTATGATCTTAAAGTTTACCATTTAGAATTGTCTAATACATGTTTGCTTGTGTATAATAAGAGATGTGCATAATGCTTCTCCCTAGGCCTGACTAATCTATTACAAGGAGTCAAATTCATTTTCTCGCTCATGAACGATCTTTGTCTCAATTGGTCTATTCATGTCCCTTTATCCACTCACTTTATTTTCCTGGTATGTTTTGTTTGTAGCATCCTGTGCTGATATTATAGGAAGAGCCTATAAATTTGTTTACACAAACTTCATGTTTTCTGTTCTCGTGTTAAGAGTTCTAAAAAATTCTTGCATCTTACGTTTTCCCACCTTATGGGATACCAAAAGATCATGGAACCTTCTCCAGTTCAAATTTGACTTCCACTTGTCGAAAGGTTCAATGCATCGAAGTCTATGGATGTGGCCATGAGTTATTGTTGGGGAAAGCCAGAGAGGTAAACCATCTTGATTCAAGCTTCGCTCTTAAACCATCTGCTCTTTTGGTATTTGGTTGACTATGTAATGGTTTAGAAATTTGCATAGCAGGAATCTAAGATTTTCGTGCATGGATCAACAGACTTGAAAGAGGTTGTATGGTCTTGCTACAGCTTGAGATTGATAAAGCTTAAGATTGATAAAGTTAGTGGCCTGCTCTCCAAGGCTAGCACAATTACTTTGGGTCCAGAGGAAGAGTTATTAACAGACTGCTGGACTTGCTTAAAGGTTGAGAAGCTACATATGTTTGTCCTAGATTCTATCTATTTGTGCAGAATCTAATATTCAGAGTTGAAGAAGAAAGCTGAAGCATCGTATAAGAGAAAATCTAAGTTGGATGGATGTCATTTTGTGCTCCTAATGATCAGTATGGAGAAGAGGTTTACTGAGCACTCTGATGTCTTAAATAGTAAGAAATACTGAGCTCATTATGATCATTATGTGCTCCTAATGATCAGTATAGAGAAAACCTTCAAATCTAAGTTGGATTTGAACCAATCCAATGACAAAAGGCAAGACTTGGCTGTGGCAAATGATTACAAGTTCTTTCAGACTCATTGTGATATTCCTCATCTTTCATTGCCTATTGAGTCTTCTTTCAAATGAGCAATAGCCCGTTTTTTTCTGGATGTCTTATAGCATGACCACTTATACTTGCACACCATAATAATGAGACATCTGTTCACCCTGCTACTATCTGGTTTCAATGTTGTGGTTTTTGCTTATATATAGCTACCAAGAATTTGCTCAAGAATGCCAAGAGTGAGGCCACAAAATATGTCTAGGTTGCATAGTACAGTGATGCCACACCGTCAGGTGATCATATTAGAATCATTCTTCTGCTTGACTTGGCTACTCTCAATGAACGTTGAACTTTGTGGATGATTTATACCTCTAAGAACTAACACTTTTGACTCAGCTATGCACTTTGACCTGTGCTTTTATTTCTCCTTAATGATAATTGATATGGACCACAATTTGGTACATATAAGGCTTGCGGAGTCCTTTGACAGACTTTGAGTCCAACGATGTAGCTGGTCACTCTCTCATGGAAAGCCAATCACATGGTGGTTCTGTTCTTCCATTTTCAACGTAATGCACTCTGTCTGTAAGCATTAAATTCAGTGTAAAAGCTTGGACAATGATTTGACTTTTCATAATCGAACAACTTAGCCAATGAAAATGGAAATTTGTGGTGTAACGGCGGAGAATGTGAAGAGAGAGAAGGAAATTGGTGTGTCTTTTCTAAGTTGAACCAAAACCATGTGAAGTGACCCACTCAAATACCAAACCATCAAACTTCAATACCCCACTCGGCCATTTGAATACCATCGCTGACAGCATAATTCTTTCTTCCAAAACTCTATATATTTGAACATCAAATGATCCTTCAAACACTAAATTCAACTCATTCCTAGTGTTCTACACTAATCAGATCAAAGCTTCAGACTTTTATCAGAGTCTTTCATCTCTAGCAAAATGGGGATTCGATTGCTATCCTTGGTTCCTCATGCCAAGCATATCCTAAAGATGCAGTCAGGTTTTACCAAAAGTCAGTTGGATGTGCCAAAAGGCCATGTGGCTGTTTATGTAGGAGAGATCCAAAGAAAGAGGTTCTTGGTTCCAATTTATTACTTAAACCATCCATCATTCCAAAAACTACTCAGCCATGCAGAGGAAGAGTTTGGCTTCCATCATCCACAAGGGGGTCTAACCATTCCTTGCAAGGAGGATGCCTTCATTGATCTCGCCTCTAGATTGCAGGTCTCTTGAAGTATGCAGAAGAAAGGACAATATGCCATTTTTGACAAATTTTTTTCCGACTCATTTACTTTTTAACGCATGCTAGAGTGTTGTAGAGTGGGATACCTTCCTACCTGTAAATGAGTTGCATTGTAAAGATACATTTATTGACAGAATTAATGAAAAATAGATCAATTCACCATCAATTTCTATATCTTATTTGCTGGTGATTTGTGATTGCTAATCTGAGGTTTTGGGGAGAGAGAAAACTTATTACTAAATTATTATATACCAAAAAAGAAACTGAATAACACATTGATCTGCATCAAACATTCTACAAGTTCATACAGATTTCCCCAGAAATCTGTTATATGTTTCAAAGGGTAATGTGGGAGAGACGGAGGGAAAACGGATTGTGTTTCCAATATCATACTTGAATCATCCTTCATTCCAACCACTGCTCAAACACGCTGAGGAAGAGTTTGTATTCCATCATCCTCAGGATGTCAAACAAATCCTTGCAAAAAGGATGTCTTTCTTGATTTCACTTCCAGATTGGAAGTTTCTTAAAGATGAGGGGAAAGAAAATTCACCAAGTCTTGAACCTGTTTTCTTGACTCGTTTATGAACTTGGATTAAAATGTTGCAGGAAATCCAAGAACAATTCCTCTTCCAGAATGTTAATGAATGACACTGATTCTTGCTACTGACATCTGACAAAACAGGCAGAAATTATAGAAAAGTCATGATTTAGTGTTGCATTGAAACAGTAAAATTATGACTATCAAATACATGCCTATGGTAGGGGCCCTCAGTTTCAACTAAGAAAAATATGGTTTTCGCAAAGGGGATTAAAAAAGATTAAACTTATTCAAACCTGTTTATCCTTTTTCTTCTCTTATTATCATCGTTAGAGACCAAGTAGAACATTTTGCACTTTCATGGTATTCATTAATTCAAGAAAATGTTTTGTGCTCAGCTGTATTCAAGTAAAGTAGCAACGGAGATGAAAAACCCGACGAATTTAGGTGAATAAAATTCATGAAGGGGCAAAGAGTTCTTGTAAGAAAATGTGACTGTCTATTTCAATATTGTATCTCTTTTCCGCTACGCATCATTTACATATAGAAGCTAACTCTACATCGATGTTCTACGCTAAACTATGGGAAAAAAATCAAAGGGAATCTGACAAAATTGTATGGAGGATTGTATTTCTTCTCTATTTCAGGAAGATTGCAGCCTGGATGTGAGATTGATGAAGACATCTTCTCTGCAAGGAATTGTAAGACCTCCAGTTGGATGTTTAAATCCAAATTCTTCTTCAGCACTGTTGAGCAAAGCAGAAAAAGAAGGATGGTTTAAGTACGCTATTGGAACTACAAATCTCTTTCTCTCAATATCTCCCACATAAACTGCAATATGGCCTTTGGGAATGCCACATAGGTTTCTGGAAGAAGCGGTATGCATTTTGACAGCTTGCTTGGCATTGAGGAGAAGTGAAGGTAGTCTGATTCCCATGTTTAGCATTGAAAAGTTTTCCTCTCGATGCAGATCTAGAAGTTGGAAAGTGTAGTACTTGAATGAAGATGTTCTTGAAATTTGAGTTGGAGATTGAAGTTTATTTGATCTGTATTTATGGATTCAGAACGGGGAAGTGGTGAGAAGAAAACAGTCTCAAAGAGGGCCTACTTCATAAATGCTCACATGGGTTGCTTATTTGGTTTGAATAGACGCACTTCATCATGTGCCCTAACAAACTATTGAGCAGTCCCATTTGTTCCAATGAGGTGCAGTTCTAGTCCAAAATAACAGGTCGAGAAAACTTCAAAACCAAATGCCATGTCGTGGTAGATCAATTTACAGTGGGTCCATGCTGCAAGCTTACACCATCGGTCGTTGGCTGCATCTCTGATCCAATCCAGAGGAAAAATATATATTAGAGGGACAGAAACAGGAATAAATTCTTCTTGATAATAGACTATACAGAACAATAAATGAGATGCCAATCCATTTGTAAATTTTTCTTTCAGACACAAGAATAATGCTTGTCTGAAGCTTGCTATGATCTTAAAGGTTTACCATTTAGAATTGTCTAATACATGTTCGCTTGTGTGTATTAAGAGATGTGCATAATGCATCTCCATAGGTCTTACTTATCCATTACAAGGAGTCAAATTCATTTCCTAGCTCATGAATGATCTTTGTCTCAATTGGTCTATTCATGTCCCTTTCTCCACTCACTTCATTTTCCTGGTATGTTTTGTTCGTAGCATCCTGTGCTGATATTATAGAAATAGCCTATAAAAATGTATTCACAAACTTAATATTATCTGTTCTGTTTCTAGTGTTTTAAGAAATTCTTGTATCTTATGTTTTCTCCCCTTATGGGATACCAAAAGATCAGGGGACCTTCTCCAGTTTATGTTGATTCAAATTTGACTTCCACTTGTCGAAAAGTTTAATGCATCGAAGTCTATGGATGTGGCCATGAGCTATTGTTGGGGAAAACAAGAGAGGTAATTCTTGATTCTAGTATTCAGAGTTGAGGAAGAAAGCTGAAGCACCGTATGAGAGATAGGTAGACATTTTTGAATTGTGAAAAAATCTAAGTTGGATGGATGTCATTTTGTCCTCCTAACGATCAGTATGGAGAAAGGTTTACTGAGCGCACTACTGTCTTAAATGGCAGGAAATACTAAGCTCCAAATGATCATTTTGTTCTCCTAGTGATCAGTATAGAGAAAAGATTCAAATCGAAGCTGGATTTGAACCGATCAAATGACAAAAGGAAAGACTTAGCTGTGGCAAATGATTACAAGTTCTTTCAGACTCATTGTGATATTCCTCATCTTTCATTGCCTATTGAGTCTTCTTTCAAATGAGCAATAGCCCGTTTTTTTCTGGATGTCTTATAGCATGACCACTTATACTTGCACACCATAATAATGAGACATCTGTTCACCCTGCTACTATCTGGTCTCATTGTTGTGGTTTTTGCTTATATATAGCTACCAAGAATTTGCTCAAGTACGCCAAGAGTGAGGCCACAAAATATGTCTTGGTTGCATAGTACAGTGATGCCACACCGTCAGGTGATCTTATTAGAACTCTTCTTCTGTTTGACTTCGCAGTTCCTAATGATGGTAGAACTTTGTGGATGATTTATGCCTCTAAGAGTTAGCATGTTTTGACTAAGCTATGTAGTTTGCCTTGGGCTTTTTGTTCTCCTTAATGAGAACCATTCTTTGATATGGTCCACAATTTGGTACATATAAGGCCTGCAGAGTCTCCTTTGACCTAGATATTGAGTCCAACAACGTAGCTGGTCACTCTTTCATGGAAAGCCATTCACATGGAGGTTCTGTTCTTCCATTTTCAACATAATACACTCTGTCTGTAATCATTTAATTCAGTGTAAAAGCTTCAACAATGATTTGACTTTTCATAATCGAACAACTTGGCCATTAAAAATGGAAATTTGTGGTGTAACTGCGGAGAATGTGAAGAGAGACAGAGAAGGAAATTGGTGTGTCTTTTCTAAGTTGAACAAAACCATGTGAAATGGCGTACTCAAATACCTAACCAACAGACTTCAATACCCCACCTTGCCATTTGAATACCATCGCTCACAGCATAACTCTTTCTTCCAAAACTCTATAAATTTGAACATCAAATGAGCCCTTCAAACACCGACTTCAACTCATTCCTAGTGTTCTACACTAATCAGATCAAAGCTTTAGACTTTTATCAGAGTCTTTCATCTCAAGCAAATGGGGATTCGATTGCTATCCTTGGTTCCTCATGCCAAGCAGATCCTAAAGATGCAGTCAGGTTTTACCAAAAGTCAGTTGGATGTGCCAAAAGGCCATGTGGCTGTTTATGTAGGAGAGATCCAAAGAAAGAGGTTCTTGGTTCCAATTTCTTACTTAAACCATCCATCATTCCAAAAACTACTCAGCCATGCAGAGGAAGAGTTTGGCTTCCATCATCCACAAGGGGGTCTAACCATTCCTTGCAAGGAGGATGCCTTAATTGATCTCGCCTCTAGATTGCAGGTCTCTTGAAGTATGCAGAAGAAAGGACAATCATATGTCATTTTTGACAATTTTTTTCGACTCATTTTACTTTTCGACACATGCTAGAGTGTTGTAGAGTGGGATACCTTCCTACCTATAAATGAGTAGCATTGTAAAGATACTTTTACAGACAGAATCAATGAAAAATAGATCAATTCAGCATCAAATTCTGTATCTTATTTTCTGGTGATTTGTGATTGCTAATCAGAGCTTTTGGGGAGAGAAAACTTGTTACTAAAATTATAATATACCAAAAAAAAAAAAAAAAAAAAAAAAAAAAAAAAAAAAAAAAAAAAAAAAAAAAAAAAAAAAAACTGAATAATATATTGAAACTTCAAACATTAAACAGAACTAAACAAAAATGAACTGCATCAGACATTCTACAAGTTCACTCAGATTTCTATGAAATCTGTTATATGTTTCAAAAGGTAACGTGGGAGTGTATCATCCTCAAGGTCGTCAAACAATTCCTTGCAAAAAGGATGTCTTTCTTTATTTCACTTCTAGATTGGAAGTTTATTCAAGATGAAGAGTCGAAAGAAAATTCACCAAGTTTTGGCATTTTTCCCCCTGTTTTCTTGACTCGTTATGAACTTATATTAAAATGATGCAGGAAATCCAAGAACAATTCCTTCCAGAATGTTAACAAATATCACTGATAAATTCTATGTCATGTCAGCCTAGTATTTTCTTGCTACTGGCATCTGACTAAATAGGCAGAAATGATTTTATAGTCCTAATTTAGTGTTTTATTGAAACAGTAAAATTATGATTATCAAATACATGCCTATGGTAGGGGCCTTCAGTTTCAACTAAGAAAAATATGATTGTCACATAAGACGGATTAAAAAAGATTAAACTTATTCAAACCTACTTATCCTTTTTCTCCTCTTATTATCATCGTTAGAGACCAAGTAAAACATTTTGCACGTTCATGGTATTCATTTATTCAAGAAAATGTTTTGTGCTCAGCTGTATTCAAGTGAAGTAGCATAAAAATGGAGATGAAAAAACCCAACGACTTTAGGTGAATAAAATTCATGAAGGGGCACAGTGTTCTTGTAAGAAAATGTGACTGTCTATTTCAATTTTGTATCTCTTTTCTGCTACTCATCATTT